CCTTGTTCGTAACAATCATCTCCAGCATTTGACATAGATAACTGCCTCCCTACACTGCTATGACCAGGATTGTAGCCACCCTCGCCTTCATGTGTAGTGACCTCCTTCACGACGGGAAGAACTAAAGCAACAGGATTGCATCCCCTTCGTTCACAACCTTGTAACTACCGCACCCATTCGGAGTCTCGCTCTATCGGCCTTAAATAAAAGTAAATTATTGAACTTGACCGTGTCCACAATGCATGAACACCGACGGTGTGTGTTTCAGTATCAAGACCTAAACTTGCCGCAATCCATTCTTTCAACTGACTGACAGACCATGTTTGAGGTGCGCTCATTGGCACATCTATATGAGTAAATTCACTCAGATCTGCTTCCATCTCAGTTGTTTGGACAGTACCAGGACCATAGCAAAATCTGAAGTTCACTACATCAGACATCTCGGCTCACCTATTTTTTTCAACAACGAAATACAGGTATTAAGCAACAACTTAATATACCCCACTAAGAAATATTAGACATGTCTATATATTAGCTAGCTATATATTACAGAATATTAACGGAGCAACTAATACAAGTATTAAGCAACAACTTAAAATGCTCACCAAGAACACCTAAATATTTACGTTTACTACCGGAGCAACTCCAATTACTGACACACCTAAATATATTTACGTTTACTACCGAAGCAAATAACAATAATCGCACATCGGAACCGGGAAATAAAATGCTCACCACGACCACCTAAATATATTTACGTTACTACCGGAGCAAATAACAATAATTGCACACCGGTACCGGGAAATAAAATGCTCACCACGACTACCTAAATATATTTACATTACTACCGGAGCAAATAATAATAATTGCACGCAACTTCGAAAATAAAAATGTTTGTTGAAATATACCCTTGTAGCGTGCGTGCGAACGACGAACGGCGGCCTTCAATCACCGGAACTGGAGCCGGAAACTCCACCAAACTACCGGAGCTTCACCTCCAACATACTGCCCCAGCTTCACCACCACCACCTCCACCTCCACCACCGCCACAACCTCCACCAATGCGCTGAAAAAATGCTCCAACAAAATGCTCACCACGACCACCACAAGCAACCCCATCAGTAGATCGAGGTCTCTTTTGACTCCCCTAACTATGTAGAACCCATTCACGGTGCCAAATCCGCGAAAAAACAGGGCATTTTGGTGTATTAATTGGAGCTAGTTCGTGTAAGAGAGAGGAGGAAGGAAGAGCAGAGAGAAGCTTGCGGTGGGAGAAAGGGAAAGGAGAGGAGAAAGAGACGTGTGGTGCGGGGCCGGCTCCCTGTCGGCCAGCAGCTGGCCGATCGGTCGGCAGCTGGCTGACTGGGTCGCTCGTGATCCAGCCCGCGCCGACAGCCAGCGCCCGACGTGGCCTGGCCAATAGTCGGCCTCCGCGTGGCCGAGAAGCCACCTGTCGGCTCACAGTTGGCCGATAAGACCCAGTCGGCCCGCTGCTAGCTGACTAGGAACAGTCGGCCAGCTGCTGGCCGACGGTGTATTATTTTTGAAAATAATTTTTTGGGTGTAATATTTGTGCAAATTACTAAAAAAATGTATTATTTTAAAAAAATTAGCAAAGTACTAACTCTTCCAAGCACATTGTATGTGTGTGCACAAGGAATGAATGATGAGCAGCAGACAGCCACCCCGGCACTATTGGATCTACTCTTGGATCTGCCGATTTTGCCATTCTGGCATTCTACTCCATGCAGGACAGCTTTGCATAAATATCAATCCACTGCAACAGTTGACCTCCCCACTTGACCTCCTCGACCTCGACAAAACAAAACAAGCACTAGATTGCGTATGGGTTCCGAGGCGATGGAAGCTGCGGGAGCGCGAGATCCACCGGAGCGTCGCCGGGGCGCCGTCATGGCCGTCCTCCTCGCCGCGCTGCCGCTGCTGCTCCTGCTCTTCCTCTTCGGCGACCGGGCCGCCTCCATCGCCGCCGACGCCCTGGCCAGGGCGCAGGTGAAACAGCAGAGTACGGCACCCACTCTCCTTGAAGCTCACCCACCCATGCCGGCTGCCACCTTAGCTAGGGGCCCCGTGTTCCATGCGGTCCATTGATTGATTTGCTTGCCGGATCCATCCATCGATCACAGGTCCACGTAACGCCTCCTCGTCGCCCCGGGAACCGGACCGGCTCCTCGGCGGCCTCCTCTCGCCGAACTTCGACGAGCCGGCGTGCCGCAGCCGCTACGAGGGCTCCCGCCGATGGAAGCCGTCGCCGTTCCCGGTCTCGCCTTATCTGGTCCGGAAGCTGAGGCAGTACGAGGCCAACCACCGCCGGTGCGGGCCGGACACGTCGCGGTACCGCGAGGCCATGGCGCAGCTCCGGTCCGGCCGCAACGGCGACCGCGGCGAGTGCAGGTACGTGGTGTGGCTGCCCGTCCAGGGCCTCGGCAACCGGATGGTCAGCCTCGTCTCCACCTTCCTCTACGCGCTGCTCACCGCCCGCGTCCTCCTCGTCCACGAGCCACCGGAGATGGAGGGCCTCTTCTGCGAGCCCTTCCCGGGGACCTCCTGGCTGCTGCCCGCCAGCTTCCCCTACAAGGACGTCCGCTTCGGGTCGGAATCCAAGGAGAGCTACGTGACCATGCTCCAGAACAACGTCGTCCGCTACGACGGCGGCAATGCCTCCAGCGCGCTCCCGGCGTACGTGTACCTCCACCTGGAGAACATGAACCTCCGGCTCCAGAGCCACACCTTCTGCGAGGAGGACCACCGCGCGCTCGACGGCTTCAACTGGATGGTGCTCCGCTCCGACAGCTACTTCGCCGTGGCGCTCTTCCTCGTGCCCACGTACCGCGACGAGCTGGAGCGCATGTTCCCATCCAAGGGGTCCGTGTTCCACCACCTCGGCAGGTACCTCCTCCACCCGGGGAACCCGGCGTGGGGGATCGCGCAGAGGTTCTTCGACGGCTACCTCGCCGGCGCCGACCAGCGCCTCGGGGTGCAGGTGCGGATCGTCTGGCACCACCCCGTCCCGTTCGACGTCATGTTCGACCAGATCCTCCGGTGCACGCGGGAGCACCGTCTCCTGCCGCAGCTCACCGGCAGCGAACCCCCTGCCATCGTCCGGCCGTCGTCGAACACCACGGCGACGTCCAAGGCGAATAAGGTGAAGGCCGTGCTGGTGGTGTCGTTGAAGCCCGAGTACTACGACAAGCTCCACGGCATGTACTACAACAACGCCACCGCCTCCGGCGAGCTCGTCACCGTGTACCAGCCGAGCCACGACCAGGACCAGCACACGGAGGCGCGCGCGCACAACGAGCGCGCCCTCGCCGAGATCTTCCTGCTCAGCTACTGCGACGAGATGGTCACCACGTCGTGGTCGACCTTCGGGTACGTGGCGCACGCGCTGGCCGGCCTGCGCCCAAGGCTGCTGGCCCCGCTGGACTTGAGCAAGATGAGGTCCGACGTGGCGTGCGTCAGGCCCGCGTCCATCGAGCCGTGCCTGCACTCGCCGCCGTCGCTCGTCTGCCGGCGCAAGCAGGATCTTGACCCCGTGGCCCATGTGCCCTTCCTGCGCCACTGCGAAGATGTGGATTTCGGTCTCAAGCTCGTCGACTGAGTTGGCTGGCTCTATGCAGAGAGGCTTCTCTTTGCTCTAGCAAACATTGCTGTTTTTAGGCTTGATTTGTGATCACTGAAATACATGTTGGTCGTCGTAAAAAGAAAGAAAAAAATAAATAAATTCTATACTACATGTTCTTAGTGGATTTGTTTTGTAAAATCGAATGAATTAGTGGCATTGATATTTAATCCATGGCGTCTCTACTTTCTCTAAATCAAAATAATGAAAATAATGAAGTTTTATAAGAAATAATTATTCACCGACAAGGGAATTGCCATTTAAGAAGAAAGAAAATAATAACAAAATTTACACAAAACTTATGCAGAAATTATGCTTTTTTATAATGTGAAATAATAAGTATATAATTGTGAAATTTTCACAAAAAAAAAAGTTTCGTAAGGAGGAAAGAATTAGTGGCTTCAGAATTACGCTTCAAGAAAAAAATGAAAATAATAAAGTTCTCTAAGAAAGAATGCATTAGTGGCATTAGTATTACACTTTAAGAAGAAAGAAAATCAAAAGAAAAAAGAAACAAAAACTACATAGGGTCTCCACAGAAATTGTGCTTTTCTGTAATATGCAAGAATAATCATATAATGATGAAATTTCAGAAAAAAAGAATTCCTAAGAAGGAATGATTTAGTGGCTTTGGTATTAACCTTAAAGAAGAAAGGAAATGAAATAAAATTTAAGCAAATAAAAATAATAAAGTTTCCTAAGGAAGAATAAATTAGTGACATCGGTATTACCCATTTAAGAACAAAAATAATAATAAAAACAAAGAACGACAAAAATTGCACACTAGGTTCACAAAGATTACATTTTTCAAAAATATGCAAGAATAAACATATAATAATATTTTTTTTCGCAAAAACGATTACTAAGAAGGAATGAATTAGTGGCATTGGTTTTATCCTCAATAAAGAAAGAAAATGAAATAATAATTAAAAATTCAAAATAAGGAACAATGAATAATGAATAAGTAGCAATAGTATTACCAAAAATCCGTTTTTGAGCTCGAGCTTAGATGAGCCCGATATCCGCACCGTTCCTATGCGCCAAGATATGTGTGTCTTCATGTATTTTCTGACCGTATATGCATTTCCCGTCTCGTGTGTCAGAGAAGCATTGATTGCGACGGCTCTAGCGGACGCCGTTGCGAGACAGATGGTTGCGCGACGGCTCCGCCCCCGAGCTGAGCCATCATGAGCCGTATGAACGAAGGATCCGCACAGACGGCGTTGGCACAGGTGTGTCAATAAATGTCCACCGGCCCAACCGTCACAACATCATCCACCGCGTGCACTATTCTCCCCCTCCCACCCCCCTCTTGAATCATTGAGCTCGACCTTGCCCGGCCATCTCCGGTTGACCCGCCATGTCCTCATCTTCGTCCTCCTCTCTCCCCGTGCCAGCGGACTGGCTGCTCCCTCTGATGCCCTGCCCTCTGTGTGGCGACGAGGTTGTCACCGCCGTCGCTAGGACCGGCAACAACGCCGGTCATCGTTTCTACAAGTGCATCCGCTACGATGTAAGTTGTATTTCTGATTCAGAAAGTTCCGACCCTGCATCTAGTTGCCACAGCTTGTCATCACAGGTCCTCGGACTAATGCATTCCAGTATGTGTTTCATATTTTGTCAGGCTCGTCAGTGTCGTTTCTTCGAGTTCCAGCGCACATATTGCAGGAGGATGACTCAGGACCAGATTGTTGCTGCGCGGCATCAAGCCGGATGGCACCCGGCTGGGCATGGATTCGCAGTTCATCATGGCAACCCGCCTGTCCAGATGGTTCCAGCTGTCATACAACCCCAGGCGCAACAGCACGCCCAGCCGCATCTTCCGCCGCAGATCCAGGCTGCGATGCACCAGTCGCCGCAGGCGGTCAACAATATGTTTGCTGAAGCCATCATGCCAGCTGCGTCGGCCGGGGCAGCATCTGGTGCACAAGGACTGGCCGCAGTTGTCATGCTCATGGCTACTGTCAACATCTTGCTCACCGTTGCCGTCCTGATGGTCGTGCTTGCTATGTACTTTGCTTAACTTAAAGTGTTGCTGCTGCGTGGTAGTTAGGTTAGGCTGGACTAATTGTAACCAAGGGTGGCTCCCTCTACCGCTAAGCCTGTTTCGCCCCTCGCCAATCCCGTTTAAGAGAACTGTCGCTATTATGTTTATTAGTATTTTATATGGAACGCAGTAGTTGGTAATGAAGATCTTCTTAAAATGATGTTTGTCTGTCTGAATCCCAGATTGAGCAATGTTTGCGCCACCGCATTCTATAGTTTCCCTAGACCATAATGAATAAATTTGCGCTACACGATCTCTTGGTCCAATGGTTTTCGATACCGCATTTACGCGTCCACCTCGTTCAGTTTTTTTCTTAATGTTAATATGGGCGACCGTAATTTTTGTAGATGACGAGCCGGCACATCCAGCATGTTGCCCATGCCCCCAACCACACACTGACTCTAATTATGAAGGGGCAAACACGTCATTTCACCCGAGCGGCGGTGGGTGGGCGGCTGCATTTCATCCCTTCTCCACGGATCCAGTCATATCGTCAACCATACCGACCAAGACGGCCGCCGGCGAGCTGCAAATCATCTGCGAGGGATCCGCCCCGCTGCCCTCCTCTTTGCCAGGCAGTACTCTATTCGTACTCACAACAGCATGGTACGCTCCCTCCCATATTATGTTTTCTCTGTTCATGTTGTACTATAGTCAGTGTGTCATGCATCTCGCCCAGATCTGACACATTTGCTGTTTGTGTACCCTTTTTTCGTGTGCCCCCCTGTAGGATGACCATAGATCCGAGTCTGGTAGCCGCGCCGAGCAGCGGGATGGTTGTGGCAACGACACCCCGGGCGCAGCCGCCGTCGGAGATGATTTCGACCTGGACGGGTCATCCTCCAGCGCTGTGCCCGGAGATCCACCCACGCCAACATCACGCATCTCCTTGAAGCATGCAGTCAGTGTAATTCAGACTTTTGATGACTACAAGAAGTGGTTAGTAGAGCAGATTAGGTTTGGAGGTATGCTGAAGCTGCCAGCACTACAGAAGCTGAGTCTGAAGACGAGCGCGTGGATTATGAGCAGAGTCAGCGTCAGCCGCAGGGAGATTAAATTGAGGGACAACAAGGTTCTTAAGTTTTACCCACAGGATTTCTACAAGGTTTTTGGGATCCCATGCGGCCACCGTAGTGTCAAGGGGAGGGATGCAAACATCAATCCTGAGGCTGTTCATTTTATAAAGACAACACTTCAGATGAACAAAACTGGAGTACACAGCTTGAGGGCAGCTGAATATTTTCTGATGCGTGACATCAATGAGAATTCAAGCAAACTAGAGAAAGATTGTTTCCAGATCGCATTTGTGATATTTGTTATGGGTCATGTGCTAGTTCCAACCACGAAGCACAACTACACGACCATTGACTTTTGGGGAGCCATAGCAAACATTGAATCAATCGATCAATTTAACTGGTGTGAGTATGTCCTTCAGCACCTTCTCGATGCAGTGAAGAAGCTTAAGAGAGACATGATGGCCAACAATCTATCGACCAACCTAACTGGTTGTCATCTTTTTTTCAGGCAAGTTCATTTTTTTCATTTTTTTGCAATTGTTGTAGGTATGTTTCACTTTTGCAACCATGCATGAATTGACATGGTGTGTGCCAACGTCGTCGTGGTTTTGCAGGTCTTTTTGCTTGACAACCTCGACCTTGGCATTTTCAATAAGTCGCACAGTGTGCTCCCCAGGATATCAGAATTTCATCCCGAGTCCTTCCGTCGAATGCTTGCCATGGCTGCTGACCCGGTTAAAGGAACTACCTCCTACGCGCATGCCAATGTAAAGATGAGCTTTTACTTATTTTCTGCTTGAGTATGCAGGAAATCTCCTTTGCACCAACGCTGTGTGTTTATCTGAATTCACACAGCCAGTTATTGTCTCATTTTTACCAATATTATTTTTTGCGGATGCAGCTGAGAGACGCTTCGACAGTATGCTACACGCGCCACAAGTTTCCGCCATCAGCTCCGCCGTTTGCAACCACCAACAAGCTTACTAGGCGTTCCGGCATGCCGATGGCAGGACACCCCCCAAACACAACTCCTGTAATGCATGGGCAAACAGAGGTTTTAACACCTACCGGCCCCGCTCCCGGGCCACTTCATTTTGCAAAGTATCTACGGGACAAGTATCCTCATCTAGTATGTGCTTCCTTTTTAAGTGTTTTATGCATTAATTTTCAACATCAGTTACCACTGATGGTAAATCCCCAGGTCCTCACCATTCAATCTATCGCAGGTAGCTGACGAGATCACGATGATTTTAAAACAGCACAACGCGAGAGGCATTATGCATTTGACCCAAGCCACCAACAAAATCCAGCAGGCCCTGTTGGAAGCAAAGAATGGGCTTCAAATGGACTTCTACACGTTCTCAGACAAAGTAATAAAATCAGTCACAAATCGTTGTGTGTGCTGTCGCGCTCGGGGTTTCACTGAGTGTCCAGATCAGGTCAGGAAAAGCAAAATTAATCAGTTTAGACAATGTCATTTGTAGCCTTCACATGCACAAGTCATTAATTTGTTTCTGTTATTGCCGCCATCCATTAGCCCTCCCTGCCACCTCCAAGTCTGTACGCTTTAGGACGCCTGTAGACGGAAAAATACAGGGACAAAGGCTTGAGCTATCTGATTGCGAAGGTCAAATGACATCCTGCAATATATTATCCTCGGAAATTTTTTATATACTCTCACCCAGAAGGAGGACCTCGTCCAGAAACATCTCTAATCTTTTGATTATCTTGTATTTTTCTAGCTACGTCGCCTCTGCCACCAGCCGGTATGCGCAAGCGCGCCATGGATGCGCAGGATTCTACATCAAATAGCAAGAAATCCTCCTCGCGAGCATCTTCCAATGCGCTCAATTACTTCAAGTCCACTTTAATGTCCATCGCTCAAATGTACGCAGACCTTCCAGTCAACACTCCATTTACTGTCTTTGGACAGTGCTGCACCAATCTACACAAGCGGAAATACATATTCCAGCATGGATTTGCAACTGATCCATGGGTGAATGGTGTTGTGCCACATCCGCCACACATGCCAACAACCGACCTTATTGTTGCCCACTTCACACAGCTGCCAACGCAAGACCTACAGAGGTGTTCCCCGTTCAACTTATTCATTTTTATCCCGCCGTTTGAATTTTCAGTATTTACATCAGGTCCAGCCGTGCTCATTATTTAGCACCCTTACATTCTAACCTGTTGTCTTTTGAATTCGCTGAATGAACTATATGTACTATATTATACATGACAGTCCACGACTGATCTGCGTTACCGGTATGGCGTTGCGCGAGCAGCTTGTCGGGATGCAGCACCTTCACCACGAGCTTGTTTCTATAATCATGAGGAGGTATTCCCAGTCCGACCAGGAAGCGAATTCAAAGTGTCCATACATGAACTGGAGGCACAATATGAAACCTGAATTTGCGGTAATTCTGTCTTGCCTAGATGCCCCCATTTTTTCATCTTGGTCCTTTGCTTACTGCGTGCATGCTCTCTCAGCTATTCCTCCAAGTTTATCGTTCAACCCCTGACCTCTTATGCATTCACCCTTTTCCAGACCATTGTCCTTGCGGACCATGAATATTTGACGAACATCTCGATCCAGAAGCAGCTGGTTGGCAACGAGATCCCATATGACATAACCTCTTGCCAGATGGTACACCCCAACTTGTGAACTTAATTACATCCATGCTCAGCTCATCTACTTCCAGTTCATATGATTTCGACTTTTATTGTGCACCAACTTGTGGCATACATATAAACCTATAAATTACCTTGTAGCTAAACCTTTCGTTGTGCTCTGCTCAGTTCTTCTTGCCAATACCATCAGAGGATGGATGGATAATACTGATGTGGGACATGTTGTCAAGGAAGCTCCACGTGCTTGACCCTCTTACCAGAGGAGGAGGTCCGAGCGACGCAACAAAAGACAAGCATGAACTCATAGCTTGGAAGCTTCATCACGCTCTTTTCCAATGCTTGAACGAGTACTACGCTGGCTGGCCCACGCAAGACGGCCAGTGGGCGACCAAATACCCCGTTGTAGCTGAGGACAATTTCGATACGTATGTAGCCTTCTCACCCCCTAATTCTACAGGAACTTTCATCACTTTTCCCATACATCAATTTATATTTACCTTTTTTTTCATTTTTGTCTATCACAAAACAGACAAGAAACTGGCGCGTGCGTGCTCCACATCGCCCGACACTACGACGGCCAGAAGCTGAAGATCCCTCTAACCAAGGTAGGTCCATTCTCTTAAACCCGTCTACTCTTACCGATGTTTTTCCCAAAGTCATGCAGAGTCATTACAAATGGCTTAGTTATTTTTCCCTTGTTGTGGCTGACAACCGTAAACCGAACAACAATCTACCAACATGTACAGTACAATGTCGGCAAAACGAAAAGGCAGGCCCTGCATGAGTGTGTCAAACTTCAGGGCAATTCTTCAAAGTTGGCGCATGAGGCTCTGTGGACGGTACTAGCACCCACCGACTCTTGGCTTGGGTCAAACCAGTCCGGTTAGAGGGACAGCGGGTTGTGGGAACTGCTTCGTCTGAATGAATATGTATCTACTGCTGATTTCGGTGTATCATAACGCATCGTTTATCGCTCAGATGTTCGGTTTGCTTTTTATTTTTTCTCTATGATCTATCGAGTATTGTAAACGCCACAGTAGACGTGTGAACCATGGTATTCGGCAGGTTTTCATCAAAAATCTGTTTTAGGAATGTAGTATGAACCACTTGTTTTGTAAGTCCTACCGAAACAGAAAATGGCTTTTCAATCGGAAATCGATCCCCTTTATGTACTGAAATACAGAACTCATACTCACTAGGTAGTTTGAATTGTTTTTTCCTTACATGGACAACATTGTTTTACAAAATTATCCAACATAATTGCCGAACAAAATCTCCTTCGTCTGTATTTTTCTTCACTTATATGTCTGTTTATGTACCAACTTAAGGATCCGATTTTCTCAAATCGGCGTTTGTAAATTTGTGCACCCAATCAATTTATGTACAACAAGGTCCATATGACATGTACTCTGGAAACCAGCTTTTGATAGATGGACGAAGGGTTTGGGAAATAGCTTCAACGAACGAAAATGGAAGTTCTGCTCAATGTATTTTTAGCTTCCTGCATCATGCCCCCTCACCCCATCCCATATATCCAGAACTGTAAAATTTACAGTTTGACCGCTTAACCATGATCTTGTCTACTCCTCACCAAATAATCTCATATGACAACAATCTAGTATGTAGCAACCGTTCGTAGCATTTCCCCAAATGAGGATGCATTTCTACTTGATAACTGAGTGACTTTGTCGCCGGAAAAGTTCAAAGTTCGAGCACCTACACGTATTTAAAACGTTGTATTTTTTTAACAGACTGCATGGGTTCATAAATCTAGCAAACTCAACTGCCCAAAGAATCTTCTTTCATTTGTATTTTTTTACACTTATGTTTTTCTGGCTTCTAAACATTCTGAGTATTTAATTTTTACTAACAATTTCTATTAGACTGCAATTGCAGGTCTACAACAAGGGAACACGACTATAGAAATCATGGCCAATCACTATGCTCAAGGAACTTTCCCCACCAACAAACGACATCCTCATTATCAGGTAAATCGCTTCGTTAAACTGATCCGCCTACTTTGTTTTTCACAAACAAATACTAGTGAAGACCTATCAAATTCTCTAATCGCGCCACACGCAAAACGACTGCCAACAGCCACAAAGTGATAGTGATAAGTTTTCACTTGCCCAGGACAAGCAGTCGTTCGCCCTTCTGTCAGACACAAGCTTATAGGTCTTAAGGTCATACTTAGGGGTTACATCGCTGGTTAAAACTACTATTTTGCGCCTTAGTGGTTTTTCGAGCGATCCAAAATGAAACCTTAGTCCTTCAGCTGCGCAACTACTAATACCACGAGGATAGGCAAAAGATCTGCCGAGCCTGGAGTCGGTCTCCCCAGGGCCCTACTTGCATGCTCATCTTCAGGCCATCAATCTATGATCATGTCGTATGCGAACTCCGGAACGTCTCCCTTGTTCCCCTTCATGGTCACAATTTCATAGGCGAGCTTTGCACGCAAACCATCAATCTGGTCCTGCATGGCGACATCGGAACCAACTAGGTTTTACAATCTCTTTGTAGACTTTTCACAACAAAATTGATGCGTCTAAAAATATGATCCTATAATTATAAGGTTCACCAACCTGGCTAAGTGTTGAACGGAGGTACAACCCGGTGAAGTCTGTGTAGTAGCGTGTGATGTACACTCCGCTGTCTTCCCTGTCAGACAACAAACCGTACTTATCAACATTATAAATTTTATCCTGCTCACCACATTGCCCCATATGTGGTGCTACTGAATTTAAGGCACGATTTTGTGTGTTCTGCGGAACTTGGATGTTCTGGGGTTTATGTGACACGCACCTACTGCACGGTTCATGCTGCGCCACCAATGGGTAGAGGAATTTCTAACCATCTGTTTCAACCAACCCGTTGCCGAAATAGTTGTTGAATAGAGAGCAGAACCTTCGCTGGAACTTCTTTGCATGGCTCTCGTGTTTAATTTTCATCTCATCCATGACATCGGTCTCGGTTGGGTCAAGCACGATCACCGTCTTTTCATCCTTGTCCAAAAGGTACACTGACCAGCAGTCCATAAAATCAACTGGGAACCAAAACTATCATCGTTCACACCATGAGAATAAGAACTTCAACTTAGCCACAGGAAGCGACGCAATTTTTTACTTGCAATAACTGTCAGAATAAATTTACCTTCTTCAGCCAATCAATCCTATATCCAATTACTTCTGAATTCATCATAGTTTCTATGTAATCCCAGTCCGTTTCGCCGTCATCCCTACAAACCTCTTCTTGAAAATGTAAATGCCACACACAACATGCGTTATTCCTCACCAACAAGCAAAACAATCAGTGGTGCTAACATTAATTATTTGTCCACATTTTTCACATATGTTGTGACTTACAACGAAGCGTGGGTCGAACAGCCCCCTGAACCTGTCGAGCCACTCGCCGTATATTCCATTATCCTTTTCACGTAGCATGTGTTGAATACACCTCCAAACATTCATGGTCACCTCCCCCTGGTGTCAACTCATCTTTGATGTCTTGTCCTGACGCGATCGCCAAAATTGGATGGAAGTGCTTAACCCATTTCCTGCAAAAGTCCCGGTAGTTAGTAGAGTTTTTTTGGGAAATTCTAAACTGTTCTTTTTCTTCTTTCTTTCTTTCTCATCGATGTTTTCTTGTTAAACAAAAGCAATAAACGATGAATTGTATCCGCTTTTAGCTTACTTCTTTAAAATCCCACCCTCACAGGCAGTCATGTTAGCATCGAACCTTGAAATTGCTTCAGGATAGGGATGGGAATGGTTCAACCCAATTGACGGCGGGTACTTATCCCCCCAATCCCTCCTTGAAGATGTTTGCTCACCTACCACACCAGTCCCTGCTGATTCATGTTGTCTCTTGCTGCCGTGTGTCACAGTGTGCTTAATCCCACATTTTTTTTCAGATAAGCGAGGACAACTTGTTAGAAGTTAGTCAGTGAGCCAGTCCCGTTTAAAGCAAAACCCTGTGCACGAGCCTCACCGTCGGCGCCATCTGCAGCACACATATTTTTCTCAGTGGGTACAAAAGGTTTACCAAGATATACAGTTGTACAAACATTCATGTTGAAGTACTTGCTTCGTCACACCGGAAAGAAGGACCAGGATTGCAGTATGTTTGCACATCTAGCACAGTTGGACGAGCCGTCTTTTCATTGGTTCTGGTTTTCTCAACCACCACATTTGCTGCTCGAGCGACTTGGTCCACTGCTGCACCCATTTCGTCTGTATCGGTCATGTCCGCAGCTACTGTGTGTGTTTTACCATTTTTGGCAGCATCACAGTCATGAAGATACGTGATCAATGCTTGCTGTAAGCATGTGGCTGACCCATCATTCACAGATTGCAGTCCATGTCTATGAGCTTCACCATCATCCGAATCTACAGGACACATCCATATGATGTTCGTTCTACTCATGAGCCACAAAAGCAAAAGTTTTGGGATCAAGCTTTCTTTTGCGTGATTTTGTTACCTCCGTTGTCATGTTGGAAGGAAGGACCAGGCCGACATGTTGTTGGAACATCTAATCCATGTGGACGGGCCCTTCGACGCTGCCTGGAACGCTGCTCTCCCATATCTGCTAGACCGTCTGGTGCATCTAGAACACCGTGCCAACCCAGCAATATAGGGCCGCTGATGGGGGGGGGGGGTCTTCATCATCAGCATCTCCTGCCCTTGCGCTACCAACCACAAGTATTGCTGTTTGACACGTAGTAACAAGGTTAGTTTTAAACATCTCCTGATTTGTTTCGATGTATTAATGCTTTGGTAATTCATCATGTAGTCATGTACAGATATTTTGCTAAAATTCAGAAGTAAACCTCCTATCCACGCGATCCACCAGACGCATGTGTTCAGGGCAGCTAGCAAATCATTTAAGTTATTCAATCCCGGCATATTTGTTTCACCATTCAATGCTTCAGCTTCGTCCATGTAGTCGATTGGGACTTGCGATGCTACTGCCAGAAATTCGTCATCCAATTCTGTAAAACACAGATTTTTTCCAGGATCATTTCTACTAAATATTAATTTATAATAACGTTGGAGTATTGTCTTAGTAGGACCATACCCGTTGACTCATCTTCTTCACCAGAATAGTCAGTACCTGCCAATGATGCACCCCCAAAGAACTCATCATCTAGATCTGAACACCGGGAAATAGTTGACATTAGATCAGACTGTCTTTTTTCTTATGCTTGGGAATGGCTACAGCATATTAGTATGACAGCAATTTATACCCTCGTTACGACGCAAGGAGTCCTGTCCCCTGCTGACCATACGCTCACCGTTGGCGGCGAGTGGAGACAGGTTTGCAGCCGCCTATTGGCTTGCATTCAGTAGCTCCCTCCATTTCTTGTCCCTAACTTCTACGTCAGTTAGTACATCCCATGCAGCTTCACCTTCATTTTCATGTTGGTCATCTTGGCTGTCCCTCTCTAGTTCTGCCCAGTGTATCTGTTCTTGGTTGTTACCATTGGATCTGCTGTTGCCAAATGCATGTTTGTCTGCTCCAGCATATGCATAGTCACAATTGAAAATATTAAATAAAACAAGCAGTATTATTACAGAATCAGAACACTAAATATGCAAACAACAACGCTGATGATCGGTCTTCTTTATTTGTTACCTTCGGCGCCTCCGTCAGCTCCAACATTTGAAAGAAGTCTTCTAGCTTGATCAAATATGCCCGCCACCAAATTTTCCCTACTATGTTTCATGTCACGACCAAAACAAGACAACTTTATGCATTGTGTTGTATGACAAACCTTCGAAAACTTCTGGATTATCCATAGCTTGCTCCACAATAGCAAGTGCAGCCGCAGATAAGGACCTTAGACGCTCACGTCTCTCCTCGTCAACATTCACTGGATCATCATTA